AACTACGTTTCGAATATTTTATGTGTGCTAAGATTTTATTTATGCGATTTGTTTATGTGGCATTCGAGAAAAATAAACTCAAAAACTTTATCTAGAACGGAGGTTTATTCACTTAAAAATAAAGGTAAAGTAATTTTAAAGTGAAAATTGATATATTTAAATGAATCAAAACAGAAGTAGAGACCGAACACGTCGAGTTTTGTCCCAATAGCGTGTGATTTGCGGCAGGAGTACAGCAAGAAACTGGCAGAACTCCGTGAAAATGCACGCTATTAATTTTGGTCTGGCGCGCTTGCTTTTCACGGGCCAAAGATAATATTTTTACATGATAAACACGAAGAATTGCTTGTTGAAAAGAGCTCTTTTATTCTATGTACATCTGTATACCCCCGATGTTATGGTCGTCTGAAATATGGCAAAATTCAGTGTACAAATGGAGTAGAAAATATAGTGTACTTTACGCGGGTGGTTTCAAACAAAAGAAAGTTCAGTTGGAGATGAAATATAGTTGCAAAGCTACTCCAAGGTATTAAAAACTACTTGTAAAAAAATGAATCCAAGATGATTTTTCGTTGTCTTATACGAGCGTTGTGAAAATGCACTGAAAGCCCGATAGAAATTATGCAAATTAGGTACGTTTCGGCCGATTTCGAGCTTTCGTATTTTTTACCAAAATAAAAACTCGCTGGAACTTTTGAATATTATTTTTGAAAACAGTTCATCTGAAGAGTCTTGTGGAGCAAATAAAAAAAAACTGACAACCTCTCTTAACAATATTCAGGGCCTGCCCCAAAATTTCCATACATGGAAAGATGCAATGTGATTTACCACCTCAAACATTGCAAATGAACAACATTTACGCGGAGAATCCTTATTCTCATGGCCAAATCCAGTCCTGGGAATGCGATCCATCTCGTGGCTATGTATGTAGTGACCTCCATATTGTGTACTGTGTCGATCAGTATCGAACTGAGACATGAGACTCGCTTTTGTTCACAGGCTAGAGACTGTAAAACAATAACAACAACAAAATTTATTCAGTTTAGCAATTAAAATACATATCTTACAATCCCTACTCGCAAAATAGCGAAGCTAACCGAGGTGGCAGGGAAACAAACATTGAAATAAATTCTTCAGCAACAAGTTTGACTGAAAAGAGGAAATGACTCAAGGAACATGCATATACACGAACTATGAGAAACAGTTCGATAAGCTAATAAAGTATTTCATATTACAACTGGAATAAAACTACAGGTGAAAAAAAAACAACAACAATAATAAATGAAACTATAAAGATAATAATTTAATTCAAGGGATCTCAAACTTTTATCACCATAAAGCAAGTTGGTTTCATCAGCAAATAAGAAAAAGCTAATTTTCTGAGAGGAGATATAGATATAATTTATGCATATCAAGAACAGTAAAGGTCCTAAGTATGTTCCTTGTGGGAATACGGGAATGTGGGAATACGTGAGCGCCAACCTGAGTGGTTGGAAGTCGATCATTTAGATGAGACGAAAACCAGATATTTACTACTCCACAGATTTCGTAATGTTCGAGTTTTTTCATTAGGATTGAGTGGTTGACTGTGTCAAATGCTTTCTTTCGATCCATAAAAATACCACAACAGAATAGCTTCTTATCATCATTGAGCTGGATTCTGTTGACAGTACCAATAAGTGCATGCTGTGTGGAGCATTTTTCCCGAACACCATGCTGATGATGGTACAACATATTGTGTTTATCCAGAAAAGTTTTTAACCGATTATACATGAGTTTCTCAAAGATTAAATATTGACAAGAGGGAGATTGGCCTGTGGTTGTTCGGGACCAAGTCATCCTCACTCTTGAAAACTGCGATAAATTAAGCATGCTTTATCTTCGAAGGGTATGTACCGGTTTCGATCGAGTTTTTCATAATTAGAGTCGAGGGCTTAGAAACAAGCCGACTAGCAGACTTGAGAATTCTAATAGGGCAAGAATACAAGCCTAACGCTTTATCCATTGAAGGATACTTTATTTCTTGTTCAACTTCACCGGGCGAAACTGGATTAAAGGCAAAAGATTCCTAGAACGAATGTTTAGGCAGCTAATGGGAAAATTCTGCAGAATTTGGAATTTTTGATACCAATTTATTCCCCATAGAAGCAAACTGTTTATTGAGAATATCAGGAATTTTCAGATGGATCAGAAGAAAGGCTGATATGATCTTGGCGTTTTAAGCTAGTAATTTGTTTTCCAGATCTCCTTTTCCCGTGTCTTTTTTATGTTATTAATGTTACATTCGAGATAGGTATGGTGATATATCTTTTTACTAATACGAGATAATGAAAGACTCTATTTCTGTAAGGTTTATGTCTTTCCTGATCACAAGAGAAAAAAAAGCTGACTGTACTCAGCAAATGTAAGTAAGCTAAGTTTAGTGGCTGATCATGAAATGCTTTTACGTAGAAAAGAAAAACTGATGTTGAGCTTGGTTCTCAAGTAAAAGTGGCAATAATTTTGGTTCACGCTGAGAGAAATGTTTCAAATTTATATATTCCTTTATAAAAATACCGACCGAAAGAATTTCCGTCTTTCTTTCACTGTCTCCACACTTAACACTTACTACGTTGCTGATACGAAAAATATGAAGGGTGCTAGTTATTACTCGGTTCTAACTTGCTCTTTGCTCATAACAAATCTTTGCCACAAATCTTTGAATGGTTCTATATGTGAAGGTAAGTTTGTTATTTTCAGGCTTCGTAACTTGATAATGTACGTATTTTTAAATGTTACCATGGAGCACGCAGAGTTGGTAATACAAATATTTGTTAAGAGGAAGCATAAATCCTTGTCGCCTAATACGCTAAGAAATTATTGTCATTCTTGATTCTATGCGAACTTTCATCACATTTAACCTATTTTGGAGGTGAGGGAGAGGAGGTGGCTGAGGAATTTGTTCTTGTTTTTCTCTGGCAAAGTTTTAGACTAAATTATATACGTAATAAAAATAATTGACCGTCTGTAAAACTCGCAGCGCCCGAAGGATCGCCACCTTGTCGTGGTCGGCGGGCTAAGGTGCCTCGGCAACCTATGGAGCTATGCCGGCAGGAGCTTCGTCTCCTGGTAGGGCCACCCAAACTGGACAGGTCGAAGGGTAGAGGTCCAATGAAGCGCGATCCACTGGTCCTCCAGGTTAGGGGGTTGGGCATAGAGCTAACAATCCTGTCCGTGAAACACCCATGTTACGGAAACAGCACAAAGCCACCCTACATGCCATACGGCATAATGGACATGAGTGAGGGAATGTGTAAAACTCACGAAACTATAAAAAAGTCTCCAACCTTAATGTTACATCATTATTAAAAGAACGATGAACGATGAAAAAATTCTCTTCGCTATGGTCTTTTAACTTTGTTGGCGATCCGTGTTAAAATAACAGAAACCTGAGTAATGCCATTAGAAAGAGCAGTTACTCAATAGCGGTACACGGTTTTGTATTTTTATCAAGGGTGGTGGGCGTGGTTAGGGCATTTGTCTTTGACTGGAAAGGTTTTGGACCCAATCATACGTGTTACTCACCGAAGAACTCACGAAACTTGGATTAGTCTTCTGAGGGATTCTTTAGGCTACGTAGTTGTGATAAGAACAGTGGAAATTTCTTTTGTTATTATTATTATTATTATTATTATTATTTAACTTTAATTTGTAGCTAATCCGTGTTATGTAGAATATCCATTTCGAATACCTCAGTCCAGTAGCTTTAGAGATAATAGCTGAACAGGGAAATCCAGAAAGGCTTTGGTTATTGCTAGGTACTTACGTGTTCTTAAAAAAAAATTTTGATGGAAGACTGTGACTTTGTACTACCTTGAAAGAATTACGACTTAAGGATACGTGATGAAAAGTTTACTTGGATATTCCTTTTTTTTTTACAGCACCTTCTGTATTTGTGGGGTTCAAAAATGTTTCAGCTTTAGGAAATAAAAATTTCGCGATTAAAGGCATGTTTCAAAGGTGGCCTGTCATCCATAGTCAATTTGCTCTGCAATCATGATCATACTATGACTGCTATGAATTTGAAGCTAAAGTTCAAGTTAAAACCATTGAAAAAAAACTTCATTTTTTATCCATGCTGATTGCTTTTACGCCCGGGTTCGAAAAGGATTCACTCAAATCTGGTGCTCAGACCCTTGACCCTCAGACCAAATCTGGTGCTCAGAACCTATGGTCATCAGCAGATCATGCTGTAATTTCGGTCCCAGACTCCCGTTGCCCCGTTCCTCCTTCCCCGTTCCCCGTTCTACATTCTCCATTCTTCGTTCTCCTTTTCCATTCTCCGTTCACCGTTTCTCGCTCCAAGTGAGTTCCTTGTTCCTCGTTCTTCGATTTTCGTTACCCGTTCTCCGTTCCTTGTTGGAGTAACATCCCACTACAGCTATGATGCAACAGTAGTCAGTTCAAACAGCAATTCCCGAAAACATCTTAGTGCCATGAGCGTTCTTATAAGGAAAATAAAAAATATTTGAATTCTCAGCTTTACCTTCGATTGTAAAAAGTTTCGGACTGGTCTATACCCGGCGTAGTTTTCTGACAAGCTGCTGCAAATCCTGTCAGCTATAAGGGCGCAAAAGAAGAAAAAAAAATCAAAGTTCATAGCTTAGAACCTCTTTGAAGACTTAAGGCAGATAATTCCCCGACTTTTTCTTCTTTAGGGAAGTTGTTATAATTGAGACAAAAAGTGGAGGAAGCAATGTGATTCAATATTTTAGGAGCAGAAATATTTTCTTGATTCTATCACATGACCGGAGGCATGGAGAGCCCATGAGATAGCACAGCGCATGCGTCAAGTCATTGCACACGTGCGTTGCATCAAGCAAGTCGATTTCTAAAGAATAAGAAGAAAACAACTGGAAAAAGCCGAATCTAACGTAGTTAGATCACTTGAACCTTTAAGAACCAACGTAGTTGGTCTTACATCACACATACTTAGCTCTAACGAGGTTAGAACTCGGAAC